TTCACATTATTTGTTGTTCAAGGAAGAGCAGTGGTTCGATGGCGAGGATGATGACGCAACCGAATGCAAGAAAGAGCCGATTGAAGTGAAGAAAGAAATCAAGAAGGAAATCGATTCACCTAGGAAGACTGGCATAGAACCAATGTTCCCTTCGGTACTGAAACGGAAGAATGCGTTCGATGAGGACGATGGAGCCGTGTTCAGCGGTCAAGTTGCACTACTGACACCAGTGAACATTGTGACTGAGAAGAAAATCGTTATAAAGGTACGTCAAAAACGTTGAGCTACAAAGTTACCATTTTTGTCCTATGTTCTCTTATTTTTGAGGCCTACTTTATTTAGGTGGGCGATCGGTCTCGAACTCCATCGCCGTTAGGTTCACCTCTATCATCAACCCCGCCTCCACCGCAAGCTCGTGAAGATGAAGTCTCTTCTTCGCAAAACAACAGCAAGGAGAATAGTCCAATGAGCATAAAGGTATGAAATAGCTGTAAATGCTTTACTTTTTTTTATCTTACTTTTTTGGTGTTTCAGCGTTTACCTCCTCTAAAAAGTGGACGTTTAACGTACAGATGTACATTACCTTAGGTGTAGTGTGTAATTATTTTGTTGAGCTTTCGCTTTGCTAGTATATTTCTGCGATAGCTCATGACGTGGTTGGCATCCATATTTATTCCTGGGATGCGGATATTGCTTAAACTGGAAATACGTTTTGAAAACCCGTGAGAAATGGGAAGTATCCCAGAGGAAGAAAAGAAGAAGAATTATAAAAAAGAAACTGAAGTATGAAAAGGCCGGATGAATAGGGGATGAGTTAAGCCGATGTCAGACTGCGAATCGAGCGATTCCTAGCGTCCGCGGTCGCGTCGCGTTCGGCGAGTCGAGATTCGCTGTACGCTAGAAAAGCGCTCGATTCGCAAAGTCTGACATCGGACTTAGTGGGTTGTACCTTTTAGGAGAAATTGGCCCCTCTATAGCTGTTGTAGCCACCCTATTCCGTCAAAAAGCCCCCATTGGTACTGCATTGTCTTCTAGTTTCATCATTTTTTAAATGTTCTTATTATAGTCGCTGGTTGACTACGATGAGTCGGATTCGGACGAGGATGAGAACAGTGCGCCGAATGATTCAATACCGTCATCGTCAACAGGCAGTCCGGTGCAGATGAGCTCAAGTATTGAGAAAGGAGCTGAGAGTACAACTGCTGCACCTGCGACTTCGTCAGGAGGTGATCTGTCACCCTGCGATGACGATGTATCATCCACCAGCGGCGAAGAAGAGTCGGCAGCAGGTGGATGTGGATTGACGCGACGGAAACGACCGTCAAGGAGCGACATAGACGAGGAAGTAGTAAAGAGAAGTCGAGCCTCACCTGAAACCTAATTAATTATTGTAAACAGTTCTATGGATGATTAGTAGCGTCTGAGTATGTGAGAATATTACATCGAAAATTGATTTCTCGATATATGTGATACATGGATCTGATATGACCCTATTATAGGACGTCCCCATCCTGCCCCCACCTTCTGTTGTGTATATAACCTCAGCTGTTCGCCGTTACGCGCTCAAGCATTGTTGAGTTGTGCCGTCGAAAAAAAAATGTTGGCCCGGTTAGTCGCACGTACAAAAAAGGGATTCCAATTTTTGCAGCTTATTCTCCTACAAAAGAAAACATTTGTATACTGTGATCTTTAGTTCACTGGGTATTTTGTTGCAGCTGACACAAAATGACTGGGCTAGCCCCTTCCATGGATGTTTTGTTTTGTATCTGCCCAATTAAGATCTATCCGTTTTCTTTATTGTTCATTCAATTGTTAATGTATTGTATCAAATGTTCTCATCTCGGTTCTCATCTAAAGATGTCTGTAGCAAGGAATGATTCAATAGGACCGTAAGCGGTTGCCGTGCAATTGGGCGTAAAATTACTCGGCTGAGGGTACCTCTCATTTCACTGACTTTGACTGCCTGAGGCGGTATGCTGACCGTGGACAAGGGCAAGGGGCTCTCTTCGAGGCTGGTTGTGGGAAAGAGACAGGATCGCGAGCAGGACTTGTCGGCCAACGGCGGGTACTGTGGCGCGATCCTGTTTATTTTTCCATATCGGTTTCGAAGGAGGAGAGCCCCTTTCCCTTCACCCACGATCTGAATACAGCTGCTGCACTGCGTTTCCAGTGAACCCGTTTTATTTCACGCCCAATGGTACGGTCACTGCTTACAAACTATTGAATTTTTGTCCTTGTTGGACATGGGGACTGCTCGTTGTTCTCCGCTATTCATCGTTTTGTTCATAGTTAATCTTATACCCACCCATCCTATCATCCCACCATCCACCCTCCACTCATTGTTCTGTTTTGTTTGTAGGAAAGCTGCCGGTTCAGCAAAATCTGTTCCTGTTTCTCTTTCTTGACGAATGTTTGTAAATGTTAGCGACTTTTCTGGGTGCCGCTGCGCTGAGTGCTGTTCTTTGATTAGCGATGTCGCGTATAATAAGCATTTATATATCAGTTTTAACTGTTCTCTTTTTTTCCCGTCGCACTCATTTGTGGTACAAATTCGGTGTTACCACGTATCTCGTTGAGAACAACAATAAAACTATAAGTATTAATTAGTTTAGTTTATACTACGACCGAAAACATAAGAATAAGACACAAAAAGTGGTTTCGTAGGTGGGTTGGGTAGTATACACACGGTTTAGCTTGCAAGTGCTCCGTTAGGTCTCTGGCGCATGCGATCGCGGAGCAGGTTCTGGTCCGTAGCTTTATCGCGCCGTGTGACGTTCTGATGTCTACCTCTAAATCATTTTGATCGGGATACCCGACAGGAGGCTCGTCGCGCGGCGATAAGGTAGATATGCGGACGGATCAGGGGACGAGTCACGCGAACTGTGTACTATAGCACATTCCATTTAATTTGACGCTAAATCGCTACAGTACGAGCTGCGACCCGTTCGCTGATGCGCGGATGTGGTTCACTAGGACAGAAAGCTTTTTCCGCGTTTCGCAGCGCGAAACATTTTTCGCTGCGGGAACCTCAGGTCCACTGATGATCATGGTGGACCTGAGGTTCCCGCAGCGAAAAATGTTTCGCGCTGCGAAACGCGAAATCGCTTTCTGTCCTGAGCCACACCTCTAATCCGCTGCGTCTCTGCCTTCGCGCCGCGCGAGAGGCTTTCTGTTGGGCTCTTGAATCGTGACACTGGGTTGCGATATGCGTACGGTGCTGCTTGCAACAGCTCCGTCAGGTCTTTGGCCATGCGCATGCGAAACGGTTTGTAGTTCGTTATTCTACAGATGGCACGACTTAAGATGCCTACATGTTCAGAACATTTTAATTGCGGCAGACATGTTATCCAGCCGGAAAAACATGCGAATCGATATGATGATTGC